CTATTCTTCAGTATGTTACCATCCTTCTATTCCTTATTATTCTTCAGTATGTTACCATCCTCCTATTCCTTATTATTCTTCAGTATGTTACCATCCTTCTATTCCTTATTATTCTTCAGTATGTTACCATCCTCCTATTCCTTATTATTCTTCAGTGTGTTACCATCCTTCTATTCTTCAGTATGTTACCATCCTCCTATTCTTCAGTATGTTACCATCCTCCTATTCCTTATTATTCTTCAGTATGTTACCTTCCTCCTATTCCTTATTATTCTTCAGTATGTTACCTTCCTCCTATTCCTTTTTATTCTTCAGTATGTTACCATCCTCCTTCTCCTTATTATTCTTCAGTATGTTACCATCCTTCTATTCGTTATTATTCTTCAGTATGTTACCTTCCTTCTATTCCTTATTATTCTTCAGTATGTTACCATCCTTCTATTCGTTATTATTCTTCAGTATGTTACCATCCTCCTCTTCCTTATTATTCTTCAGTATGTTACCATCCTTCTATTCCTTATTATTCTTCAGTATGTTACTATCCTCCTATTCCTTATTATTCTTCAGTATGTTACCTTCCTTCTATTCATTATTATTCTTCAGTATGTTACCTTCCTTCTATTCGTTATTATTCTTCAGTATGTTACCCCCAATTTTTAAAGGCAGTCCAGCACTTGGTGTTAAACTGGGCATGGAGGATGGGAAGGGATCCATTACCTGATTTACTTAAGATAGTCCATGAAAGGGTATGGTTTAGATTCATACTTGTTTAACCCTATAGCTGTCGGCACTATTTTAAATAATTCCTTTCTGCGTATAAGTAAACCACTTTACTATTAATGTATTTTAATGAAATGATTATAATCAATTATTATTACAATTCTCAACATTTAAGAGCTTTTATACAAACAATTGTGAGTAGTTAACATAGACTGTTGCATTAAACTGTCAAAGTCCACTATATAGGAGCATTTTATTACCATCTGGAAATGTTTGAACCCCCCCCCCCCAAAAATCCATTCTAAATTGTTTCTACATTTAAGGTCAGCCACCCACTTGCAAAGTCAAAACTGTGTTGCTAAGCGACAGTTTCAAGTTGAATGGCATGCTTATAAGCAACAGAAACAGCAGATTTTCCTCTATTTATACAAGGAACAGGTAGAAGATACATTAACACTGTGTGGTTTAAAACTATATCAAAGGAAAAAAGCTTAGTCCACTGTTAAGTCCCTAGCATTTGGTTATACACTTTATACATATTAGATTGATAGACAGTTAAATTGTACTTAGGTCCTACTTTTATATTTCAGATAATTATATATTATTTGTGTTTTAAAAATTATTTGAAAGATTTAATGACTTTTATAAGTTTAACTTGTTGTCAACAGGATTGTAAAAGTGTATAAAAAAGATAGAGTCATTTGTATATGCAAAGCATTAGAATAATAAGGAATATAAGGAAGGTAACATACTGAAGAATAATAACGAATAGAAGGAATGGTCATATTGGCCTCTATGATTTGCTACCCCAGCAGCTAGGAACTGATAAGTGGCAAGGACTCCCATGTTCCACTAAACGAAAAAAAAGAGAGGGTGAAAAACATTGGGAAGCCTCTAGGGGTGCATCACCATAAGACAGTGCAAAACAAATCATAGAGGCCTATATGATTAATCCCACTTAGTATTGAGGATTGGTACAAAATAAGATTAGAATGCTGGATTCTCATCCTGTATCACTGGGCTTGAGATAAAAATAGTAGGGACCTTTAACTGAACTCGGTATAGGAGCCAAATTCCCAGTTTGAATGCTGGATTCTCATCCTGTATCACTGGGCTTGAGATAAAAATAGTAAGGACCTTTAACTGAACTCAGTATGGGAACCAAATTCCCAGAGCTTCCTTGGTTTGGACTTGAGTTGACCCACCATGTATGTATGGTCTGATGCACCCTAGCCACACTACGTATCTAGCACCTCTGTTAGCCTGATGCAGGTTCTGGACTATGCTTGTATCTTCAAGCCACTGTTTTTTACAGGCAAAGGTGAGGTGAAGTCTCCCATGGGTGTGCCCTTGATCTGTTCATAAGGTATAGGGTGTTGTACTTCATGGGTTCCCTTTGGGTGCTTTCTGAATGGGGCTCATCTACATAAAATTTTTCACTGGTCCCTCCGCCACCAACATGAGATTCCAACTGTGTGTGAGAAGAGGACACGTATCAGAAGTTAACGTTTCCCAACACTGAAAATGTATTTCTTATAGATACTCACACTTCCTTCCCACTTCCAGTGCATCTTACTTTCTTGTTTAATCACAAATTGGTGATTGAACAATCAATATAGTGACAGCCAGCTGCACTAGGAAGCAGTGTTGTGCTGCTTTGGTGGAGGGCTGTGCTATTCTAGTTTGCATGCAACAATGTCACTTGGAAACACGCGATTAGGTTGAAGCCTCAAGACTACTGGTGAGAGAGAAAGTATGCATATAGGAGGTGAGTATCTATTGGAAATACATTTTCAATGTTGTAAAATGTTAACATTTGATCTAAGATCTATACTTGGGTTATTTTGATGTAACATCTACACATCTGTTTTTTCATTTTCCTAATGTAGTTATGTGTATGTTATTTTGATGTAACATCTTTACTTGTGTTCTTTCATACATAACTACATTAGGAAGTGTCTTATTTTAATGTAACATCTTTACTTGTGTTCTTTCAGACATAACTACATTAGGAAGTATGTTATTTTGATGTAACATTTTTACTTGTGTTCTTTCATACATAACTACATTAGGAAATGTGTTATTCTGATGTAACATCTTTACTTGTGTTCTTTCATACATAACTACATTAGGAAGTATGTTATTTTGATGTAACATCTTTACTTGTGTTCTTTCAGACATAACTACATTAGTAAGTATGTTATTTTGATGTAACATCTTTACTTGTGTTCTTTCAGACATAACTACATTAGGAAGTGTCTTATTTTAATGTAACATCTATACTTTTTTTAATTTAGTATGAAAGCCAGACTTTTGTTGCATCTTACTTCAAAACTAGAATTGAAGGGAACAGCATGTTTTGTGACTATTATAACCCTCAACAACGAACGTATTGTAAGAGACTAAGAATTCTTTGTCCAGAACACTCCAAAGATCCTAAGGTTAGTATGAATACTTTTGTTTATTTCATTGTGTATATGTTTTATCCTTGAAAACAAAATTAGTTTCTGGTTAGAGAAAGACTCCCACTTAGAATGAAACTGAAAACCAACTGGTCATGAGAATAGCTAATTAAATATCAGTGCTTTTTTCTTCAGTTAAGTACACTCACTTTAGTTAAACCATGTCATTCTATCTGTATATGTGGTTCTTCAAACAAAGGATAGCAGCTTAATATTATGTGTGGTTCTTTAAAACAAAGGATAGCAGCTTAATATTGTGTGATTCTTTAAAACAAAGGATAGCAGCATAATATTATGTGGTTCTTTAAAAAAGGATATCAGCTTAATATTATGTGTGGTTCTTTAAAACAAAGGATAGCAGCTTAATATTATGTGTGGTTCTTTAAAACAAAGGATAGCAGCTTAATATTATGTGTGGTTCTTTAAAACAAAGGATAGCTGCTTAATATTGTGTGATTCTTTAAAACAAAGGATAGCAGCTTAATATTATGTGTGGTTCTTTAAAACAAAGGATAGCAACTTAATATTGTGTGTGGTTCTTTAAAACAAAGGATAGCAGCTTAATATTGTGTGTGGTTCTTTAAAACAAAGGATAGCTGCTTAATATTATGTGTGATTCTTTAAAACAAAGGATAGCAGCTTAATATTATTATGTATACATTGTTTAATGTAGTAGCATAATAATATAGAAGCTTGCTAATCTTCCTTTTGTTTATCTGCAAATGTTTAAAATTTGTAGTTTAGTTTAAAGATAAATAGCTTATTGTGATGTTGTTGTGTCAGTCAGTTTCACTGTTTCTATGCCATCATGAAAGTGCAGCTTTGTATAACATTATTGTTGTGTTAAGTCTCTCAGTCAGTTTCATTGTCATTATGCTATCATGAAAGAAACAAACATTATTTGTTACATTTTTCATTATCTCAGTTGTAGACAGTAGTTTTTCATGAAATATTTGTTCTTCATAACTTGTAATGTGACCATACGTAATTAAGTAATATACGTGTTAAGTATAGATTTATTTCTGTCTTCCTTGACCTTATTTGTTCAGTGGGAGCATGTTTCTATTTCTGTCTTCCTTGACCTAATTTGCTCGGTGGGAGCGTGTTTCTATTTCTGTCTTCCTTGGCATTACTTGTTCGGTGGGAGCGAAGGAAGACAGAAATAGAAACAGACATTATTTGTTCGGTGGGAGCGTGTTTCTATTTCTGTCTTCCTTGACATTATTTCTTCAGTGGGAGCGTGTTTCTATTTCTGTCTTCCTTGACATTATTTGTTTGGTGGGAGCGTGTTTCTATTTCTGTCTTCCTTGACATTATTTCTTCAGTGGGAGCGTGTTTCTATTTCTGTCTTCCTTGACATTATTTCTTCGGTGGGAGCATGTTTCTATTTGTAGATAACTTTAATTGAGCTTGTTTGACCATAAAGCAATGTCTGAAGATGCAGGGAGAAGGAGCTTTACCAGAAGGTGTATTATTGTTATTATATATAACTGAGTTAAAGGTTTGCATCTATATAGGTAACAGTTTCTAAATTCTGATACATTTCTTAGGTTGCCGATGATGAAGTTTGTGGTTGTCCTCTATTGGTCAATGTTTTTGAAAAGAGTGGAGAATTTTGCAGAATGGCCAAGAAGAAATGTTTAAAACACTTTTGTTGGGAAAAACTTAGAAGAGCAGAGATAGATATGGAACGTGTGCAACAGGTTTGTAGTGTTCTTTAATATTATGTATCATAAAAGCAGTAAATACCTTTTAAGTTCATGAGTAGGGTGATTATTTGAATGGCTTTTGTTTTTATGACATCCAGATACAGTCTTTACTTAAATGTTCGTGAAACTTAATAAGTTTATGATTACTCTCCTTTATGTAACAACACAATAATTAAATTTCATGTAAGTGTATTATTTAACATGTGTTGGATAGAGTTATATTAAAACACAATACAAAGACTTAGTATGTTCATCTTGTTTCACTTTTGTTTTCAGCCTACACTGTAAACCTTCTATTTACCTATGTAAGCTATAAATCAGGTTTATAGGTGTTGAATCAGTGTTTTGTTATCATTATTAGACTTTTTAACTCTTTCAGCACAGGATCAGTCCCTGGGACCAACCTTGTAACCATTTTGTGCATGTTACAGTTTTCATGCTATAACTTTTAAATTAGTAAGAGTATGTTAACGAAATTTGGCAGATTATCAGTAAACATTACAAAGCTTTTATACACAAAATATCAGTTTTTTAAAGCAATGTTTTTCTCATGCCTTTTTTTTCTTTTCGCATGTTGCCTATCTAGCATACAGAGTAATTTTCATTTTAGGATTAAAAATACTTTTATGCATCAAAAAAGTTTCATATTTCACATGTAAAATCTTTATAATGTCCAGATAGCTATCAAATGTTTCTTAAGAAAAACTTTATATTTTATCTGTTATTTTCAGTAATGAATCTCTGTACGGGTTCAGTAGATTTGACCGATCTCATAACCACCATAAAAAATTAGGAAATAAACATAAATTATGCTTCTTTCCTTTAGTCTAAAAAAATATGAAATTTCGAGCAGACTAAAGACACAACCTACCTCCTTGAAATATTAGTTCAAAAGAAAGAATTGGCATTTTTTAAGAAAAAACTTTATATTTTGTTATTTTCACTATCAAATATCTGTACGGGTTTGGTCGATTTGACCAATCTTGTAACCACCATAAAAAATCCAATAATATTTAGTCTCTACAAAGTGACTTGTCTTGGTTCTGTTTTAGTGGACTAATATTTTGTAAAATACAGTCACAATTCAATTGGTATACCTTATATATGTATATAGATTATTACAATTTAGAAATAACTTCATAAACTTATTTTTCTTAAAAATAGAACAGTAAATAAAGAAGTAAAACAAACAATTATCTCTTCTTGTT